GTGGGGAGAAGGACAATAATAGTTCAGACAGGTACTGAGGTGCCAAGCCATGCAGAGCCTTTTAGATGAGCATGAGGATTTTAAAATCTACATGGGATTTGACCGGAAGCCAGTGCAAGGACTCCAGGATAGGAGTAATGTGAACACTTGCACTGGACCTGGACAGGATTCTGGCTGCTGAATTTTGGACATACTGCAGTTTGTTCAGAGTAGATTTAGATACCCCAGCGAATAGAGCATTACAGTAGCCAATTTGAGAGAACACAAATGTGTTGATCAGCTTTTCAGCCACAGTTAGTGATAGCATATGGCGTAGTCTAGCGATATTTCTGAGGTGAAAAAAAAATGTTTTGACAGTATGCTGCACATGTGGGTCGAATGTTAAGCCAGAATTGAATATGAATGGAAATCTGAGATACAGATTCGGGGGGTGGAATTGGCAGGTAGCAGTCTGTGTGGCGGGAGTATGAAGAAATTAGTAGATTACTGAGTGCTTAGGAATGTGTGACATAAGTCAAAGGTTAATTTTGATTTCTAATGTCTTTCCAGTACCTGTGATTTTGAATCCCCGAGAAAGCACACTGGCAGAAAGTACAGTGTAATCATGATCAGGAAAATGTTATGCTATAGGTGACTGGAGATGTCTTGGTTCTCGCCTTCTGTGAAATGGTCAGCTATCCTTCTTCATATTTCAATGATGTTAATGGCAAAAATACTTTGTTCAGGATATGTAATAAGCAGCAACAACAACTTCGAAATAATTACAGTATTTAGTGGCTGAGATAGGACATACACACTCACACCAGGCTCAAGTTTCCGAGAAGCCAATTAACATACCAGTATGTCTTTGACTGCAAGGAAACCATAGTACCTAGAAGTACCCACACAATAACTGGGAGAATATACAAACCCCACTCATTCTGTATAGTGCCCAGGGTCCAGAATTGAACAGAGGGCTCCAGCAATGCAAGGTAGCAATGCAAACTATTGCGCCACCCATTTTTAAAAGAAAATAATTAAGTTTACAAAAGTGTACAAGCATCGGTTTGTAATTAAAAAAAAACCAAGCATCACAAGAAAGGTGCACATATTTTTGCAAAGCATCCTATGACTTTCTACACAAATGGTGGGGTTTATTTGACATTTAATGATGCTGTAAAGCTTTATATAGATAAGGGGGTTTAATCAAACAGCAAAGCTGGTTAATTCAATACCCAATCATTAAATTAAGTCTGACTTTTTTAGTATGAAGTAGTATTCATAAATAAATATCAGAAAGAATGTCATGGACTGAGACATAGACAGACACATTCAACTTAATTCCAGGTTGTTTATTTAATTTAGAAACTCCAAATAGAATGCGATATTTAAGACAGGAGGTTAGTCATTTAAAATTTCAAGTAGTATTTCAGAAAAGGTGTTGTTTGATTTTTCAAATATTAAGACTGAATGATATCAATTTCAGTTCAATTCACTTTCAGTTTAAGCTTTATTATTCTCTGGGGGAAATTAATTTTGCAGCACATTCCAATACAGCAAATCAGGAAGAAAAACATTACTAAAAGAGAAGGCAGTCCAATAGTGTGACAGGAGATTGGAGAGTTATTTTACATGTTGTGGGAGAGATATTGTAGAAGGGACTGAAAGATGTCCTGAGTACTGATTACTTTTACACCTGGGGACATAGACCTGCCAGATGGAAGTGGTGTAAATTCACAATGGAAGGGTTGAGACACTCTATAAAGTTTTGGCCTATTTTACAACCCCTTGTTTGTAGAATAATTGTAGAATATTGTTCATTATTGGGCAGCAGTATTAGCGCTCTTGCACGAGCTTGGTAGCTGAACAAGGTTGAGCCTGGTCAGTCTTGGAATGGGTGACCTTTAAGGTTCTGGTTTCCCACCTGTGTTCTGCTGAAATATTAAAGAGGGCTAAATGTGACTTCCCAGCAAAGCAGCACCAGCTATCCCATGATGTAAATATATATCCAACGGATATATTTTTTAGCTGATTAATAATTTGTCACATAACTTAAGATGTATAAATCAAAAATGTTACTGAGAGCACATTATTTGTTTCTTTAGATTTCCACATATACCCATGTTTAAAACAGGTCCCATACTGTTTGCAAAATGATTTTGAAACGTGTTATACAAACACAAGCATAAATAGCAAAATAAGGTTTTTCTCAAAAATATCAACTTGGTAATATATAACAGAACGTATTATCACCTATTACACTGTAGTTCTTTCAGTCACACAAATAAAACTATGACTCCCAAGATGCACTAGAAAATTTCTGTACTAGTGCAAGGTCTCATGGGAAACGAAGTCTTCCTCCCACATAAATATTTGTAAAAAATGAATTACAATTAAAATATAACAGAAATGTAAATAAAATTAATTTACAATATTATACAAAAAACACAGATAGTGTCCTAGAAAGAAATGAAACATTAAAATATACTATTTGAGGTTTCCCACTCGATGCAGTCTACAAAACTACAGTGGGAGGAAATGCGCATAAGTTTTACGATCTAGCCAAAAGCAAGGCATGGTATGAACCAGCGGGATACGTTGTTTCTTCTGTCCTGGTCTAAGCTTGTGTGTGCTTTGTATGAAGGTAACACTGGATATAGATATTTGCTCGTTTATATAAAGATTGCGCATAAATTATAATCATGGCCGATTAGTGGGTGAGTATTTAAATACATATCAGCCTCATCTTTATTTTCTTGCGAATTGCACACGATCCTTTTCACGAGCTAAATTAAGTCCCGTGCTTGAATGTATTGCTCGCCTTGGCGAGGTGATTTGGTTGGCTTTTATAAATATCACATCTTTCTCTTTTATTTGGTCCACTTTTTTGACTGCTCCCAACCGAAATACACCCCCCTTTATAATAATATTTTAGTAGAACAATAGTTAACGAACCCATTATGTTTACATTTTTAATTTATATCTTGTTAAAGTTACACCAATACTTGAACCACAAACGAAATATTATAAAGGTTCTAATAGGAATTAAGACTCACAATGTGACAACCTGCAACGAACAAGCATCCACCTCCAGGAGGTCGATTTCTCTTGGGTTTACGGGGTTTCCTATGTCAACAGCACGTTACTGTAGTATCTGCGCTTTCATATGTTCTTCCAGGAAATAAACGTACAGCTTTTCCCAATTTTGACGAGAGAATTTCACTGCTTTTTTGGTAATGGTTAGGTCTCCGGATTTTCAGCCCCCTCCTTGTTTATTTCAGGATCCTTGAGGACTTGAGATGCACTGTACTGTACATGAAGAGATGTCTGTTTTCCCCAAAATAACATTACGAGGTGATGTGAAGCAATATCTTGGTGATGTCTTTAAAAATAAAGAGGTAGGATATGTGAGTTTAGTTGTTATATGGCTTTTAAATGTTTAAATTATTTACTAGTTGCTATTAAATATTCTTTACAAACTTTACTATTGTTCCATTCCATCATAGGTAGTCACCACAGGTGTCATGTCAGTTCACTTCAGTTTATTTATCATATGCACTTGCACATATGCACATTTGTCAAGTGCAATGAAATGCTTATTTACATGTATGCTCCGATACAAAGACATTAAGGTATCACCAAAACATAAACACAGAACAGCAACAACAAGTTAAATAACATACAACTTTAAAAAAGCAAGGAAGTACAAAAGCAGTGTGAGAACAGAAAAGAAACAACACATCAGTGTGAGTAATAATGTAGGTGTAGTCATGTAAATGAGTTTAGGCGGTGGTAGAGGTAGAGTTCAGTAATCTGACAGTTTACCTGTCATGCTTACCAGGAAGAAGGGGGGAGAAAAGTGAGAAACCAGGATGATTGTTGTCCTATAAGTGATACTTCCTGCGTTTCTGAGACAGTGAGTTGTAAAAATGTCCACAATAGAGAGAAGCTGTATTCCATCAATGGACTGGGCTGACTTATCACCCCCTATAAAGACAACAAGCTGCAGTCAAGCCATACTTTAATGCCACATATGAGCACATTTTCAAGAGCGTACCTGTAAAATGTGGTAAGGACAATCAAAGAAGGACCAATTTTTTTAAACTGTCTGAGTAAGTAAAGGCGCTGTTGTGCCTTCTTTGTAGCTCCAGTTACATGGCTGGGACCATGTTAAATCATTAGCAATGTAAGTACCTATTGTCATTTTTGGATTCATGTTCACTACAAGTTTGTTTGAAGACTTTTATCTTCCTCTCATCAAGACACAACAGACAAATTAGTTATGCAGTATTGTACAAAAAGAGATTTCTTAACTTTAATGTAAAATATACTATATGTGGAAATGGAATTACACATATTTTTAAAACCACAATTTTAATGGACAATATCTGATTAAATCAGACTAATTTAAAGCATTTTTAGGACCATTATGGGTGAAGGTAGAAATCTAAAGTTCTTAAACAGAAAAGAGCCATAGAAGCAGCAGAACACATACAGGTTCAGGTGGGTAGCTGCGTCAGCATGCGTAGGCTGCAAAGGAACAAGTAATAGGTTTATTCCATGGTGAAAAAAAGAAGAAAGGAAACACAACGTTTCAGCCGTGGAGCCTTCTTCAGGTGTGAGACAGACAAGACAGTAAGCAAAGGTAATGTAGGGGGAGAATAAAGGCTGGTAGAGATGAGGAGTGAGAGGCGGGAGCAGGGGACAGAAAGAGAGGCCAATCAAGAGAAGTCAGAATGGTTGTAGAGAGGTGTGAATTGAAACCTCCAATGAATGGAGAAAATTTAGAACAAAAGTAGTCTGTCGTTAAGAGAATGGGGAAGGTGTGATCCTAGCTGCAGGATAATATTATTTCTGTAGTCTTTCTAATGTATGAGTTCAGAAAACTGTCTTTGAGAACACAGACGGAGAGATAAGAGTGGTCATGGCCATCAGAGGTGAAATGAGAAGCAGTGGGCTTTGAGAGATCTTTAATCTTCACAGCCCTGACATGTTCTCTGAAGCGCTGTCCGAGTCTTCTTCCTGTTTCTCCGACGTAGATGGCTGGGCATTTACTGCAAAAGATACAGTAAATAAGGTTGCCGGAGGTACAAGATGCCATCTGGGTGATCCGGAATTGTCCTGAGGGGCCTTGAATGAGTGTGGTGTTAGATATGTACTTGCAGGGGATACAGGGAGCTCTGTTCCAAGGGAAAGTGCCTGGTGTGGATGGTTGCTGAGGGCGGTCAAGGGAGCTGTGAACAAGAAGGTTGTGCAGATTAGGTGGTCGAAAAGAGGGCCCCAATGGAGGGATCATCCTGTAGGCTGGAAAAGTTGTCGTTAATAGTCCTGGGGATAGGAAGTGTGTTGGGGTGGTAGGGAAGCACCAAAGGAATGCGGTTGTTGTGATTGAGTTGATGGTCTGAGGGGTGTTTTTGGCTCAGGTAAGGGCTCTGTCAATAACACTGCTGGGGTATCCTCTGTTGATGAAAAAGGAGTACATTTTGAGGGATTGGTTCTGGAAGTCAATGTCGTCGCTGCATAATCGTCGTGGCCGAAGGAACTGTGAAAAAGGGAGAGAGTTTAAAGTGTGTCTGGGGTGAAATGAGCTATACAGGAGATAACTGTGTGAATCCGTGGGTTTGTAATAAACCGAAGTGGAGAGTTGGGGGTAGTTGATAGAGAAGTTGATGTCTAGAAACGGAAGAGTAGTGGAAGATATGTTAACCGTATATATTTGAGGGACAGGTGGAAGTTGGTGAAGTGATGCAGAAAACACTCAAGCTGGTGTTTGGAGCATGTGGTTCCAACGAACACATACAAGGCGTGCAACAACAGGCAAAAAGACAAAACCCTCAGAGAATAAACAGTCAAAAGCATGACCCAGTTCACCCCTCAGATTGATGCTGTTTTATTAATGTTATCCTATTGCCCTCACAGCTGCTGGCTGTCCTTGGCCAAGAGGATGCAGAGAGGAGGTTTGAAATGCTTCTCAGTCGTCTCTCCCACCCCCCGGCCTTCACCTCCGTCAGGGTCAACACCCATCTAGCATCTCCAGAGCACGTCAGACGCTGCCTGTCTGAGGAGATCCGAAAGGTGATGGACCTCCTTTGATCTGCTTGACTGCAGCAGCATTTTCTTGCTATTGATGGGATGATTGGATGTGATTGGCAGCCTCTGCTCAGAGTGAAACCAAATGCTAGCTAATACACCTTGGAGTGAGGGAACACCCCAGTTTTAAAAACACCAGATGGTGCTGTTGTCTAATGAGATTGGTGGAATTGCTAGAATTTCGTTTCAGAGGAATTTTTTGGTTACTAAAAATATATACAAACCGTTTCTTTAATTAAAATAAATCACGCTTCAAGCCTACAATCACCACACGTGTGCTGTTGATTTAAGAGCTGTGAGATGTTTCACATTGAAAGTATATTCAAAACCACTAGTATGCAGCTGTAATTTAACACAATAAAAGGTATTACGGCTGTGCCTTTTCATTTATAGATGTCCTATAATTGAATGTCAAATGCACATGCTTGCTTGTTATTCACTGTACAAAGAATTTGTGCAGAACGTCATAAGGCAAAACAAGACATATTCGATGTGTCTGTGTAGCAGAGTAATGTAAATTGTCTAAAGTTACAGAGTCCGTTTATTTTTATCAGTAACTCATAAAAGCATTCCCATTTATAATGAAACTTTATTTCTTCTCCTTTTTAAGGTAATGCAGGCGCTTTTATAGAGAGGCTTCTCTTGTCTCCCTGTTAGCAGAACATTCTAACCTTGGTGTTTATCCTAGCAGCAGCAGATGAATTCATTCTCAAGCCATGACGTTCCCATATTTAATCACCCAGATGTTCCAGATGTTTTGCTCATTCCTGTTATTGGTCCAAGGTACAGTATGGCTATAATTTCAAAAGTAGAATTTTGCATATAGAAAAGAGGGAAAAAATGCCAACCACTGAACATTGTTTGAACAGAAACCTCTTAAAAGTGACCTACAGGTACATACTGAAATATTTTTCTCAATTTTGACATGCTAATTATGCACATTTGTAATGTGTATGCATATTATGATATTAGGAACAAGTAATAGGTTTATTCCATGCTGAAAACAAGAAGAAAGAAAACACAACGTTTCAGCCATGGAGCCTTCTTCAGGTGTGAGCTGAGCTGAAGGCTCCACAGCCAAAACGTTGTGTTTTCTTTCTTCTTTTATTCAGCATGGAATAAACATATTACTTGTTCCTTTGCAGCCTATGCATGCTGACGCAGCCACCCACCTGAACTATTGTGAAATTATGTTAATTATTTCTGTCTCACTAACCTGATTCCGTGGATTATGGACTGTATCAGTCATACTGGCTGCAATTAATTACTGTTTTATCAGATCTTACTTTCCCTTTTGTAAAATGCCCAAACACTTGAGCAGTAGTTTCATAAAAAGATAATTCATGTATTATATGAGAAAGGGACAGCTTCACAAGGCTGGCTTTAGAGCTGCAGCACTGAACAGAGGCTAAATGGTGTCCCATTCTGGGTGTTTCCAGAACCATTCTCTCCCATCACTTCAGTAGGTGACTTTTACTACTGCTACTGGAGCACTTCTGCATCAGAAACCAGTGAATCCTTCAAGTTTTGAATAGAAAGATTCAACAAAGGGAGTGTCTTTCTGTACAAGACTTTTGCATTTGATGTGTTTGTTGTAACAGTGTGACCTTGTTTCTGTTCTCAGGGTTTCTCTGGAAAGGCACTCTTTAGAAGTTGTGGTGGGAGCTCAGTGTGGGAATGCAGTGTTACGTGGAGCTCATGTCTTTGCTCCAGGGATCCTTGCGGCTCCTAAATGTAAGGAAGACGTAAGAGCCAGCTCTCTGCTCTGTAAGAAACCAAGTGAATGAACGTTGTCAGAATTACTCTATAATCATGACTCATTAGTAAATTATCTTGCATCAAAATTATCTAAAAAGTTAATTTACATCTGTAGTATAGAAGGTAAACTTAAGACAGAATATGATCATTCTTTTGTCCAGAAAAAAACAGCACTAGAAGGGACTGGAAGTTACACTTAAAATAGTTTAGATTATCTGTAAATTCCACTATAGGAAAACACAGTGTACAAAAGTTTTTTTTTTGGAATTTTAAAAAAAATTGTATCATTTCTGTTAACATTGTAATAATAGTTTTTTTCTTACCCATCAACCAGCCAAAAATTCAAGATGGAGAATTTGAAATGAACACAGAAATTGAAATGCTTTTCAACGTAATTTTACAAGGTTTCGGTACGATGTGAAGCTATTTTGATTTATCTAGTAGAGCTGGTTTCTGTTATTATAAATAGCTGCAGGTAGGTTCTATTTACTCCATGTTGAAGGGATTGCTTTGAATCAATCTGTATTTGCTTATCCATTCTCAGACATGAAGATGGGAGATGTGGTGTCTGTTTTCTCTGACATTGAAGGACAATGTACAAGAGGAGCAAAGGAGTTCCAGGGGAAGCGAGTTTTCATAGGAAATGGAATTGCTGAAATGAGCCGCAGTGATATCTTCTGTACAGATCAACCAATTAAGTGCGTACTCCAACTTCAACTTCACCTTTAGTGTTATTTACAGTGTAGTTTATTTTCAGATATTCCCTTCTGAGATGTGTTTTCAAAGTTAGAAACCCAAACCCTAGAAAGTAGCACTATGTCAATTTTAATATAATTCATTTTGATAGAGATAATAGTTTAACATTAAATACATGCAGCTTTTTAAATGCAATGTAAAAGGGGCTCATCCCAGGTACTTCAAATAACATTTATATTTTTTTATTGGACTTCAGAGTGTAGTGTAGACGTTTTGTTTTCAGTTATCCAGTACACTCACCTACTTGAAGTGGGTCTGAAACTAAAAATATACTTAATAGCATTTTACAAGAAATGGAGCCATTGCTTAGAATATCATTAAACAGAGTAGACATGATAGAATATGACAAGCCCTCTTTGCCATAGTGAGGTTAAAGTGGCTTTCGATGTTCAGCTAGTGGCGATCTATACTTGCAGTGCAGGATTAATCTGACAGACTGGAGGCTTCTGTCTGAAGTCCAGTTTCTGCACAATCACTGAGATCAGAAATCTTAGATGACAGCGCAGAGCTCTCCCAGGGACACCGGGATTGTCTAGACTAGTCCACAGTTGGACTAGTTTGGGGCATTGGTTTGGGGCATTCGACAACAGCCACCCTGCTGATGGTCTGGGTACCTCCTGGGAATGCATGGTATCAACAGGAATTATCCTTCAAATAGTACTGAAGCTCCACTGTGTCATGTTGAGAATATACTGAGAACATATAGAATACTGTATATATAAAAACACAGTATGTAGAATATATAGAAAAGCTGAAAGTACAGTATATTTTGGTTGCAATTAAAATGTTAAAGGTATTTTAATTATATCTACAGTGCTCGGTGAGGATGTTCTGATTTGTAGATTTGGTAGCAATCTTGTAGTTTTTGTATACGCAGAATACACTTTACATGTTGTGTTCTTCAGGGGAATTGGCATAAGGATGACAGAGCCCGTGTACTTCAGTCCTTCGTTCTACAATGTTCTGCCAAATCAGGTGTTCTTACAGGTATCTTCTTCTACCTCCTGACTAACAATAAGTACAACCATAAAACATGCTAGGAGAGGAAATATGTCTTTCACCCCAAAAAAGTCCTTTGTATGGTTTTGAACTCCACCTAAAATTCCACCTTCTGAGTGCATATTACTTATGTTTCAGAAATAAAGAAAATTGGCATCCAGGATACTGTACTTTTAAAATGTCTGAACAAATATTGTGTGGGGGAAAAAAACATTCTAAATATTTGGCGAAGCAATCATAAGCAATTTATTGTTTAATTATTTTTGACTGCAGTAGAAATTTATTATTTGGCTTATTTGTGGTGAGCAATACACTATAGAAAGGATGGTAACCAGAACTATTAGCTTACATTATGTTATCTGTTCTTCTACAGTGCATTTCCAACTTCTCTCCCTGTCTCTGGGAAGAGGTGTTTTTTATAAATCACCAGTACCAATAGACTTTACAGTGGTGGAATTGCTGGCGCAGTACATTACGAAGGAGCTGATGACAAAGATATGAACTTCATCTTTGCTTGTTGGAGAGGTTTGGATACAGGATTGAGTGTACCTTTTTCTTGTCTTCTATAATTAGAACCTGCCTTCAGCGATAGTGAGCCATGTGCTGCAGCCTCAGGCTGGCGAGAGAATTCTGGACATGTGTGCAGCCCCAGGAGGAAAGACCACTCACATCGCTGCTCTCATGGGGGATGAGGTAGACTGAGCCAGTGCGGCCTGTCCCTGAATAATCAAGGATGTCTTTACTAATTCACCCATTTCATCATTAGTAGACAGTAAATATGTTTGCAAACATGAGGCTTGACATCTGAAAAAATGTATGAAAGTAGATGTTTTTTTCATGGACCTATACACATAACTGACATAACAAGGGCAAAGCTTATGCTGTGGGTAAAATTTAAAAGCAAGACAACATATAACATATTGACTGTATAAAAAAAAAATATCATTATTCCAAAATGTGTTACTTCCACACAGATTCATGCATTGTGATGAATTTCAGATTCCTTATTCATATCTAAAACAAGAGAGGCATCATATGTTTCAGTAGAGGTTTACTCTATTATGTCAATCTTTATTTAAAAAAATGCAAAACCTGCTTGTCTCAGTTCTGGCATGTAATAATATTATGCTGGAATTGTTTATAGCATGGCTGGTTTCTCTACTGCAGGAGTGGCCAACACTTGTCCTATAAGCACACTGTCCAAAAGGATTTATAAGCTAGCTTTAAATCAGCACTTTATAAATGCTGGGAGGAGTTTCACTCTCCAACTAGAGCAGGGGCTAAGTAAATTAAATGACATAGAGATCATTTAGAATTTAACCTCACAGACTCTGCAGTTCTTAAAAATGACAGTTGACCATTTTGGACTGAACTGAACAAAATAGTCTTGCTATTTTGATCACAATATCAGTGTTCCCATTGTTTGTACAGTATATTGTTGATTCTCTAAGATCTGCTAGACTGCCTAGACCATAGAGGACTCATACTAGTACCTTATACATTCTAATAATCGCAGGCACTATTTGGATAAAGATGCACTCAATTGCTAACTAGCCTTACTGCGTTCTTAAGGGAGAAGTGATTGCCATGGACAAGATAGCAAATAAAGTGGAGCGGATTAAACAGAATGCCCAGATGCTGGGTCTGAACAGCATTAAAGTGTATTGCTTCAATGCGATCAAGGCCCTCTCTGGTGATCCAGCAGGGAGCTCAGGAGGTAAGGAAACAAAGCAATGTCCAGCTGAACTGAGAGTGGCCCTGTCTCTAGTATTGACACATGGCTTAGTTCTAGAACTTTCATATTCCATCATACACCTACTGAGGCAGTGGAAGGTATTTGAGTGATTTTTTTCTCTGTGGATTCTGTGGCCAGCTTATATAAAATGTTAGAATTCAAACCAAACTTGCTCTTACTGAATCTAACAGCAGGAAGAACTAACAACAACAAATGTTATAATGCTTCTGTAGCTCAGTGATGCAAGTAAAATCAGGTTCTTTAACAAGTCCCTGCAGATTTATTGATTTATTGAGTGTCTGCTTTCCTTGAAGTCTTTGTTATGTCATTGAAGATTTTTTTTAAGTAAAAATGTTTATTATGCATCTGTACTAACAAGGGAAATGGATGAGTGAGGTCCATCCATTTCTTCTGCATGAACCCATTTGATCAATTAATTTTTGCTGTCTCTTGACTAGTGATCATTTCAAAGTCCAAGAAAGACTAGATGGCTTCACAGGTGCATTTTAGGGGAGAGTTGTTTGTAGAAAACCAAATTATTGCTCCATCAACCACAATTTGAGTGATTCTTTAAAGAATTGATTGCTAATATGCACATCTAACACACATCTATCCTCAATCACATGCATGAAATTATGTAGATTAACAGAGGAGAGAATCCGATTAAATAAATATGCAGTCTGTAAAGGAAGAGATGACAGGTCTGCATCAAGAGATGTACACATCAGTGGCATATTCACAAGCCTTGAACAGTACTGACAGCGAGCAGCTGTGGTCTTTGGAGAAGGCTTCTTTACAGTATTTTGTTTCAGTCTCCACTTTGAGTTTTAGGCAGAAAACTTTTGGCTGAAATTAAATATAGATTTAAAATTATAGTATCAGACGAAAGTTCAGTGATCAAGCTTTAGTGGATGTCTTGCTCAATTTGGCATTTGGATCCTTTCAGCCACAGTCAGGGATATTGTATTTTAATTTTCCCTGCAGAAGCAAATAATTTATCAAACAGAATTTAAAATTTGTTTTTTTTAACTCTTAATTAGTATAGACACAAAAAGCTTGTCTCTTTCAGGTGGCCCTCCATTCCCTCCAGAGTCGTTTGACAGAGTGTTGCTTGATGCCCCCTGTAGTGGTCTGGGACAGAGACCCAACATGGCCTGTACTTGGAGCCTGAAGGAAATTACATCTTATCAGCCCTTACAACGCCAGCTCTTCACTACAGTAGGTTGATGTCTTAGGATCATTGTGTAGTAGCTAACAGTTGATATATGAGTTTTAGTTAGATATAAACATTTTATTGAATTTCAGTCTAGCAGAGTTGGAAAAGTTCAGTTAAAGTGATAAAGTAGCAGTACAAGTAAGAGGCTTGATGGTGACTGGTCTGGAATCCCACAACCAGGTCAAAGTTGAGGCATAAAGAAGAGGAAACTTTACTTGTGCAGATTCACCTGATCCACATAAGAGTGATCAGGTGAGCTTTGAGTTTGGCCAGACAATACTGGATTTAACAGCAGAGCAACCAGAGACTCCTAACATTCCTGCCCATCTGCAAGTGCACTACCTGTTTGTACTTGTTTGTCTTCAATCTCTCCACACACATTGCTTTGAGAACGCAAAGTATCACTATTGCTGTTTACCAAATGTTCTGGGGAAAAAATAATTGTGGCTGAATGTTTCTGTAAAGACTCTGGCTAGCTTGAGTGTTTTTTGATGTGGTTGAGAGTAAGCAGCAGAGGGCAGTCTAACTTCTAAATTAAAAATACACTGCTTTGACATTTCAAAGCTAAAACTCAAGTATAACTAGAAAATGCATCACTGGGGAAAGTTATTGGTGGTACACGCAGACCATTTTCAATAAAAGTCTTGTATTTGGGGCCTCAAGGGCCCATACATATAGTTTATAGTCAGAGGTTACTTCACAGTTAAGACTGTAAGTGTTTTTGTTTTCTGAAATGTCACATTTTATGTTTGTTCAACTTCTTTTGTTCAAATCCTTAGATTTTTGCTGTTGTTTTATCTCAAATGCAAGAAGGGAAAAATGTCAGTATGTACCTCACAGTGTTCAAATAATGCCTAAAAGATTGTATTTTGATGAGTCCATGTCTTGCAGCTAGTCCGTGCTGTACAGGGAGTAGCAAAGGTTTGCCTTATTTAAGAGTAAGTGTGGAGAAACAAGTGTGTTGACCGAGTGGTCCTGTGGACTGTGGCTTTGCTGTAGAAGTGAAAAGGGGGTTTGTAGTGAAGAACTTCACACAGATTGATTTTGGTTTACTGTTCTAACATGTCCTGGCATGTCTGCTCTGTGAACGCAGGCGGTGAAACTGCTGAAGCGTGGCGGGGTGCTGGTCTACAGCACCTGTACCATCACCCTCGCTGAAAACGAGGAGCAGGTCGCCTGGGCTCTACATCATTTCCCCTTCCTCTCGCTGCAACGACAAGTATGAAGCTCTTTCAGGGCATAATAATGTCCCACCGGTTCCTTTCTAGACTTCAATTTTAGACTGTAGAAGACAAGGGAGAAGGGCTAAATGAATGTTTTGGGGAAGGAAATTGCATACTATGGATGTGGATGTAACTGAAGTGATTTAATCATTACTTTGCATACTTATTTAGTTAACATATTTATTCAAAGTGACTTAGAATAATAAAAATACAGTACACTAAAAATACAATTTAAAAATGAAGAATAATAAATATGTAACTTTATATAACTTTACTGTACAGGGTTTTACATTGCACAGGAAAAAAAGGTAAATGGAATATAAGTAAAATGCAACTTTCAGGGTGCATGCCCAGTAATTATTTTAAACCGTGTTAAGACTGAAGTATAGCTGTGGAAGAAAATGATTGGAGAGTTGTTTGCTGGGCCTGTTACAATCTGACTGTAAAACGCAGAGAATGTTGTCCCAAATGGGTTTTAAACTGACTTGTCTGCATGTAGTAAATAGAATTGAATATTTTAATTACCTTATTCATATTTTTTTATTCTGACTTTGAGCTCAGCTCTTTTTTGAACTATATCAGTTCTATCTTTCTTCTTTTTATTAAGTACAAGATGAAAGAACATTCCAGATACCTTTCCAGGGTTTCTGGGTGAAAGCAGTAGCTCAGGTCTGTGGGAGGCCAGTGAAGGCAGATAGAATTGAAAGAATTTCATGTTTATGCTTGAAGGTTCTTGTGTGCTTGCAGTTTAAATGATTCATTTACAAATAGGTCCAGGCTGTGGACTGCATTCCAGATGTATTTATAGAAGTATTTATGTTATTTATACTACTAACATTTTTTCCTTTTTTGTGCACCCAGATGTGATGTATATTTCACAAGACGATGGTCTTGTCGCTCTTCTTATTAAAAGTCGTTCTGGGTGCTTCATGTTCCAAGTGGCCCAACCAGTTAAGAAACTCTTCGGAGTGCAGGTTAAGCTGTATGATCACAGGCTTGAGCCTGGGTCAAATGACTGTGACAGCAGTGTACAGCTGACTGTGTGCCAGGGAGGCTAGGGTGGGATTATTCTGCCATGGCTCTCTTGGCTGTCTGGGACACATTAACCCCAATGGCCTCCCGGTGTCGGTGAGGGATGTGCTTCTCCTCCAACCTGCTCTGAACCTCTTGTACTGCGTTGTTGTGCTTGTGATGAGTCAAAAGACAAGTGGCTCGAACGTGCTTACTCTTCTTATTCTCCTGGGGCGGAGCGGTGGCTCTGTGGCTCAGGATCTACGCCTGTGGCTGGAAGGTTGCCGGTTCAAATCCCACGGCCGGCAGAGGAATCCTACTCTGTTGGGTCCCTGAGCAAGGCCCTTAACCCCAACTGCTCCAGGGGCGCTGTACAATGGCTGACCCTGTGCACTGACTCCAAGCTTCTCTCCCTGTCTGTGTCTCATGGAGAGCAAGCTGGGGTATGCGAAAAGACTAATTCCTAATGCAAGAAATTGTATATGGCTAATAAAGTGATCTTAATCTTAATCTTAAGAGTGTAGTCACAGGGTTCTAGCTGTGAGCTAAAAACAAAACTGGATATTCCAAATTGTGTGGACATAACAAAAATAAATGTTGATTCAAAATCTATTAAAAAAAGTTGAAGAAAACTAACTAACCCTTACACTTGCCTTGTAAACATTAACACCTACCCATGGAGGGGAGGAGGGAGGGGAGGAGAAATGTTGATGTGTTAATACTGAAGCCAGAGGTGATGGGAAACACTGCTCAGTCTTCTGTGGCTGTAAGTGTTCTCAAATCACAAATGTAGGGAAGTTTAAGAAGGCATTTATTAGTGTGATTGGTACGGATAGAGATGACTGCCCAGTTGTGAAGGTACTGTAATTCTAAAATAATTTGAAGAGGAAAGTGAAGACCTCAGCTGTTCGTCAGGATGAGAGTCAGACACTTTTTTTAATATTACAAATTTCTAACAATGTGGCAAAGACATGGCCATTCTGGACATGTGCCAAAGTTAATATTTTAATCACTCATTTTTAGGATATTTTTTTAACATTAGATTCATTCAGTTATCATGATGACTGATGTAAAGCAAAAACAAAATGTAATTTTAAAAGCTATGACAACATGTTTATCTGTTCAACCTGTTTTTAAAGTGATGGTCTCTGATACTACATATTTTCTTGGAAAAAAAAAAATCAAAACTGATTTTAAGTTTATATGCCCACCAGAACTAAAAATAACCAAAATACCATTCAATAATGTTGAAAATATTCTGAAATATGTGTTTTGAAGTTACTATAAAAAATTACTTTAAATGCAGTTTTAACACAGTTTTGTAGTTTTAAAGCTGGGATCCGCAACGTTTTTTTAATTTTAAATAAAAGTAACCAGACAAGCTTTAATGTGCTATTTTTGTGTATTTAAATTTAAGGAACATTTAAATCAATCAATTATAAACTTGAAACTAATCAGTTGTGTGCCGCTTTAAAAGAAAATCAATGCAGTTTGCACAGCAGCCACCTTTCCCTCCTTCTGAAGTGCAGAATATACAAGCTGTGATCTCTCACCCCTGGATTCTGTTTGAAGCACATGTGTTTGCTTTGCTTATGCAGGAGCCACATGTTGGAGGAGGGGGTATGCTGGGAGCTGGCTTGTCACATGACCATCTGAAGCTGCTACAGAGATTCAATCCTGTCTGGGCAACAACTGAAGGCTTCACTCTCCACCCTGAAGAGTATGAACACACTCAGGGAACCAAGTCTGACCTCATTCATCTGGCCAACAAAGATACAATAGGCTTTTTCATTGCCAAGTTTGTAAAAACGTGATTGTTTATAATACTAACCTTAACACAGCTATTGCAATCCCTCATACTATGCCATATAGGGAGGTCTCTGTAAGCAAAGAGACTTAGTGAATGCAGTTCTGCTAGAGTTGCCATAACAACGGAATGACGACACTACTACTATGGCAACAACAGATTTGCTAGCTGTTTAGGCACAGATCGGGAAGTATAATGCTGAAAGAGGTCAAAAGAGGTATTAACAATTTATTGCTAGTTAGACTGCATTTTATGTTCTCAGAAATGGAGATATTAATCAGAATTACAAAAAGTACAAACGGGTAGCATTTTTAGTAATGAGGGGCCTTTATGAATAATTTGACAAATAAAAATATTCCTAAAAGCATGGACTCAAACATATATTAATATAATTTAAAAACTACTCCGGAAAAATCTGGGACAAAGCTGCTTTATGTGTGAACAGGGGAGTTTTTTTGTTTAATCTTAACAAAGTGACTGGCATCATTACCCAATTGTAATGCTTAATTTGAACATTTTTTTGTTGGCTTTAAAATGCTAAAATCAAGCTGAAACTAATTAGTATTCATACTTGACTGGTTGTGAAGAAAATAGTTCTAAGGGAAAAGCAGGCCTTGGGTGAAATGAAACTATTGATTATATCCTTACAATCTTGCTTAAATGTCTAATCAGATGTTTTATACTTTATGTATTTTAGTTTAACTTTTTAAGATCTAGATTAAAGGTGCTTATAAAATGTATGTTTAAATGGATATCTTAGCAGTAGGAAACACTTTTAGAATGGCATAAGAATACTTGAGATTTCACAAAAAAACAATGGGGATAATTAACAAATTTTATCAAAAGTGTTTAATTTACTGGAAAGAATGTTCAATTTAACTTGGAAGAGGAGATCAAAGTTGTTGAGAAGTACTTTCTGAACCAACCTTGTAATTCTGTGATAAGTCAAAAATGTTATCAATGTGAAGTAAGCTTTCATTTCAGAATTTTAAAATAAGTATAATCTAAACACTTGCAGTGTTGAAAGCGATAATTTAAGGGGATTAAATTGAAAAAAAGACAGTACACAAATTTTAATATGCTAGTTTGAGATCAAATTACCATTTTTGCACGATATAAAGTCATACTTGGAGACCAGCTATTTAAGTTTTTGGATCATGCAGAGTGGTTGGAAAATGTTTTATTTATTGGACTATAGGATGTATATGAATGTGACTAATAACTTGCACATTAAATGTTTTTGGATCCAAGGAACCTGAAATTATTGTACTTTTTCCTGGAGGTTACCTGCTTACATTTATAAATTTGGTACAGAATTATGTCCATTCTAACAGCATTTTAAAATCTGTTCCAGTACTTCATTTTTATTATCCTTGGTGAATGTTTCACTAGTTAAATAGATAATGTAAAAGAAGATGACATTTGTCCTGCATTAAATTAAAGACTTTCTAATCATTTCCTACCATTTTTCTTATTGAATCTACATGACAAAAACACAAGTTCATTTATATATTTTTTCCTTTATACATGCTGGCACCAGGAATGTTATCAGTCCAGAGAAGAACAACCAAATATATTGTGAATATGTCCTATGCTAGCAGACTACAAGGGGACTTGTCCAAAGTTATTGAGTAAGTCCAGCTAATTTCTTCAAAATAATGAGTGAAACATGAACCAGGTGGAAGTGCATTTAAAGCCGAGAACAGGTGGTACTTCTGCTTCTCTGAAGGCTATGTGGAAGTATGGAAAATTCTATCAGCCACATTGTTGAAGCTGATACCTTGGCTTCTTTCAAGAAATGGCTGGAGGAGATCCTTGAATCAATTAACTACTAACTAAACAGTCTAAATGAGCTGAATGACCTTCTTTATTTGTACCTTTACATATACTCTTCCATACTGTACTTACCTAAACTGTCCCCACACAGCCACACCAGCTCCAGCACTATATTAGAAGGCTATTTTTTCGAGTGTTTCCTATATTTTGGCAGAGTAAAACAATACTTAAGATTAATCAATTATAAAAAAACATCATGCCCATTCTCTCAACAAAAGCTACCATACAAAGAAATTACAGACTTCAGAACAGGAATGTGCATTTAGTTATAATTTTCGTATTAGCAGAAAGTGACTATCATCAATATAATCCAAGCTTTTATCAGATATGTGGATAAAGGCATCAGCCAAATAAAATGTGCAAAGCTTAATGTGCCAGAAGATGCAATCCTGATCCAGGATATTAAAGTGGGGGGGGTTATACTGGGATACCACACAGGAATCCTGCCTTCCTCAATGAATTGCAGAAGCCAGGATGACCACAATGTACCTGCAAACAGAACAGGCCTATGCCATGTGGACAGTGTATTATGCAAGTTAGACTTCACTACCATTCCTTAGAATGCCAAGTGAAATCACTGAATTATTTTTTTGTCAAAATAGAGGCCAATGTACAAAACACAAAGAGTTACTGTGCCAGAGAACACATACTTGAATGGGAATGTCTCCCATAGTAGCTGGTTCTGCATTTAACATTTTACTTGCACATAACCATGTGGGCTTAATGACTTTTGTCAGAGCTTTTCCCAAAACATCTGTCCTTATGTTTAACTGGAAATCACAGCTGGTAGCAGCATCAAGTGTTAGCAGTATTTGTTAACATGCAAGATGTGACGGCAATAAAAAGGGGTTATTTACTATATAAGGAAACATGAACGACAAATTAGATAGCCAGTAATGTCCCCATTTTTTGCCAACTTTATGACCATTTTAGCCACGTCAGTTTTGTCGCTGTAATTTTGTTTTGCACCTGTCCCAGCATTACTCCCAATATGTGAATGCTTGTGTCTGTGCCTGTGATGGACTGGCATCCTGTACAGGGCATACCCTTGCGCCATTGCTGCTGGGAGAGGCTCAGGCTCCCCCATGGCCCTATATTGGATAAAGTGATTAGAAAATGGATGGATGAATGTCTTAGGTAGTGCTTTATGTTACAACACTGGACAGCACCTGATGGGCTTAATAAAGAGTAAAAACAACAAGGTAATAATTTAAATCAAACAACTGTCATGCTTTTAATGCTTCTCAGATAAGCCTAGAGCACTTAGAGGATTTAACGATCCTAATTCATCAAAACAAATATATTCATCAGTTAGTCTTACAGTATATTGTTTTATGTGGAATTTAGTAATTCATTAAAAACATTTGAAAACCATTATAATCATGTAATTCACGTCTAGAAAACCATAATTTTAGCTAATAGAAGCTCTGACAGCTGACCATTTGTCAGTGTTCAGGCTGTTTATGTTTGTTAATAGTTTCATTACGTTATTCCGTTATTCAAAAAATTGCCAACATACTTGTCTTATTGTTCAGAAGTTTATTTTTAAATTTTTATTATTACATATATGTCAAATGTACATTCTTTAAATAGCAACTTTAAAGACCTGTAATCCTTAAAAATAAGTCTATCTGAAATACTAACCGTGGAGGGACTTGGGTGAATTGTGCACACAGCCTATAATCAGAAAATGAAAAGCTGAAAAACAATGGGTTGGTTGTCATGCCAAATGGAGCTGTGGAAACTAAACTCCAGGTGATAGTGGTGGAAGCAAATTTTACCAACGTAATACATCATTAAAAACATCAGTGCTGTGCTGTCTCACAACAGTAATTGAAATATAGAAAGAAGTTTAACTTATCCCAGCCAGAACAATTTTACTTTTTTAACATTGTGCAGCAAAGAAAAAAGTTTGGAACACAGTTCCTGTCAATGTAATTAAGTCCTACATGTTAAAAATGAACATGTACATCACAGCCACTACTGTATTTGGACAGTTAAATAAATAAATTAAATCCATTTAACAGTGCAACAGGTTCCTCAGCTCACTTACTGTCCATATCTACAAAGGCATTTATGACGTATATACACATGTTTACAGATCTTAGCCTAAAAATGTACTTTTCACAAATGGACATATACAGTACCAGGTACAGCCTTTTTCTTTCTTCATGGTAAAAGAAAAAAATATGTGCTTTGAAAATGAATAATAAATGCAAGCAGGAGGCTGGAAAAATCAAAATCATAAAAAGTGGCATATGTACATTTCTTTCCTTGCCAAGCTACATATATAAAAATAGTAAAGATCTACATCCAGTTTTTTAAAGTAGTTTTAGGATTTATAGTTCATTAAAAAAAAATCTTGGAATTTTTTTTAAGTTTTGGAATTCAAATGAAAAATGGATTTCGAAAGTTTGAAAAACCTAATGACTTCACATTAAATCTGTTCACTACCAAGCATGTCAAGACCCAGTCTTGTATAGGGACCTGCAAAAAGGCGAGTGCAGTTAATTTGCAATCATTTTGTAATTAGTACCAAATACACAGTTGAGGTTAACCAGTGTAACAACTTTCCCAGATGTCTTCTCTGAAAGGGGGGAAAACTCCTGTCTCAGTTATGTTAGTATTACAATACTACCCATCTGAATGCGTTGTCTACTTTAATGAGATGTAATCTGATGAAAAACCTTGATCATTTGTATGAACCTTAAAAAAACACAAAGGGTCCTAAAAGTGCTGACAAGTACAATTATGTAAAAATACATATTGCCAATGTCACTGTAGTTTAAGACAGAAATTGTACTATTCTTTTTTCTTATAAGGCAAGACCAAGATGTGTACGGTACAGGTACATACTGTAAATCAGCGGATCAAAATCTCCAATTCGTTGTTTTGTTCTGCTTTTAATTATTAGCAAGCCTAAAAAAGGAAACTAATAAAAGTAATAATAAGGATGCCAATCCCAGCCATGTCCATGTTTCGGACAGAAATTAAAACAGTAGTCTATTGTTCAAGTGGCAGCCACTATAGATGTATCAAAAAGCAAAGTACAACACAGGACCATTGCAATTGTACCGTGCTCCTTAAAATAGACTGCTAAGAGTGAAATATGTATACTTATGAATATACATATTTATGTATATATTTATATACATTTTTTGCCTATAACAATTTTCTTTGCTGATGGAGCATCAGCTGTACAAAGTAGCTCATGGAAGTATACATAAACAAGGTTTTGAATGGAGACCAAAAAAGATCAATCCCCCGAGGTACGTGTGTGACACCAAACAGAGGAACTCAAAGAAAGGACTGTCTTGACAGACAAACACAGAAAAGAAGTGACTAGTTTAAAATCCAAAGAGGGGGTGTTGGAATATTGTGGACCCAAATGGAAGAAGTCACTGGTGAATGTACACATCCCTGTTCCATTCACTTGCTTCGTTGCGTTTTTTGGAAACCACCTCACCATCCCGCTCATAGTAGTGTTCCCGGGATTTGTGGTGGCTGCGCTGTTTGTTGCGTTCATTGTGGTCCTGCTCCCTGTCACGATCCTTGGGCCGATGGCGCGACTCACGGTGCTTGTGGTCTCCTCCCACGTGCGGCTCATCCCTGTGGTTGTGTGACTCATAGGAGTCGCCTTGCTCCTCTGTGAGCTCCTCCTTGGGCTCGATGTAGGCTGAGTCCCTGCTCTCCTGTGTCTCCGAGTCAAAGGTCTCCTGGCGGGGAAGTGCTTTGTTCCCAGTCCCTCCCTTGTGGTGGTGGTGGTGATGATGATTGTGGTGCTCTGTTTTGGAGGAGGAAGAGCGGTGCTGCGATTTCTTCGACGGCTCGGTTCGTGGCTCCTCCTGTTCCTCTTCCTGTGACCCCGACTGCTCTGGCGCTGATTTCTCGGTCTTCTGTTCACCCCCAGAGCTCTGGTTAGTAACACACCATGCACAATTAGTCAGTGCTGTAATGGAAAGACTCACACTCATACCCAAATAAACGCTGAGTAATAAGTATCTAATTTTGAAGGTAATTGTTTTCTATGTATCTCTTTCAGATGCCAGTGATATTATCTTTTCACTACCTCTCCTGATCCACGAGCTATAAAATTAAAAGCTATAAAAAAACCTAAATAACTACTGGGAATACTATATAATAATACCATATTACATGGTTATGGTAATATTTTAATTTTGACTGAAATGTGTTCATTGGATAATAATGAATTCTACTGGCAGACAGAGCACACAGATTTAGTTTTCTTTTTCCAGCTTTAGGGTATTTCTAGTTAGAACAATAAAGAATCATACATTATTTAATGCAATTGCCAGTATTTTTCTTAAGGCTAGTCTTTTTCATTTTAATGAATATTTTGGTTTGAGCTGAAAAGTTTTATTTTATACTTATAATATAATAATAATAATAAACTTTATTTTATATAGCGCCTTTAAAGGTGGCTTCTCAAAACACTTAAATGATGTAATAATTATGGCAGATTGAACTTATAATATAATAATAATAATAAACTTTATTTTATATAGCGCCTTTAAAGGTGGCTTCTCAAAGCGCTTAAATGATGTAATAATTATGGCAGATTGAACACTGAAATTTGCAGAAACATTTTGTCCGCTTATATGAAAGACAAAGCTTCCATTCGTAGTGTTTAGAGCTTCACCATGCAATATGACAATGAAACCAAAATACACAGCTAATAGAAACAAGATGTGCATCAGAGAAAAAAGCAGAAAATCTTA